CGCAATTCTTTTGACGGAGCACTTTGCTGTTTCAATCTTTGGAATTTACCTTTACTTACGCTAATTTTTTATTTTTCTTTATTTGCTAGAAAGACAAAACTACAAAAAATGGCCTGAAGCTAGCTTTATATGAAAAATCAGAGTTTTTTTTTGGCTTAAAACTATTTAATTAATAATAATTTAATAATAAATTAAAGGAAAAAACTACAAAGAAAGCCTCAATTATAATGGGAAAAATTTAAAAAGATCTATTGAAAGAATGAAAGATGAGTTCATCTATCGTTTTAACATTGCATTCACCGTGTAGTCGTTTCGTTGGATAATAAAAAAGTCTATAACAATCACTTTAAATATTTTATTTTTGATAGTTTAAATTTTATTAAATACCTGCCCTTTACTTACGTTAATGAAGCATTTCGTTTCAGAATCGAATCAGAGCACTCAAGTAATTGGCTTAGAAACTTTAGTGATATGTTTCATTTTTTAAGTCTCGCTTTTTCCAGTTAGTTAGCCATTTTGGACCTCTGTGCGGCGCGAATGTGTGTGGGTGGCTATGTGTGTGTGTGTGTGTGTGTGTGTGTGTGTGTGTGTGTGTTTCGTAAAGTGCGACATTTTGCTGCTGATTAAGTAGCGTTCGTTTTTAATAAAAGTACGACAAACAAATAAAGCACAACAAGTAGCAAGGCACAAACACACAATAGACAGGGCAGCACACACCCACCTACACACGACGCACACAAATGCAAAAATATATGTATGTGTGTACACCCACAATATAAAGCCACAGCTCACAGCTCTACGGGCCGTTGCCAACGTCACAGCCTCGGCCTCAGCACAAAACCCCAAGAAGGTTAAGGCACGTGCCCATAATGCGCCCGCAGTGGCTCGTGGCGATGACGTTGAAGTCGACGTTGACGTTGACGTCGACGCCGAAGCCGACGACGATGACGATGACGAGGACTTTGGTTTTAGCGTGCTGCCATATGTTTCCGGCAAGTGTCCTTTCAGGCCCTTATCCTCAGCCGCATCCACATCGCCACCCCTCCCCCATCCCGTGCCCAAGCACTGTGAAAAGCGTTGAAATCTGCAACGACAACAACAAATAAAACACCCGAACGTGCCGCCAACGCCGCCACCGCCACCGCCGCTTCCGCCCCACGAGCTGGCCTCGCCTTGACACTTCGTGTTCAACTTCCCATGTGGGGGTTGAATTGGCACTGGTGTACTTGTTGTTGTTGTTGTTGTTGCTTTTTGTCTTCCTTTTTTTTCAATGGCATGCATGAAACTTGATATCTTCTTCGACTCCTCTCCTCTCCCCTCCACTCCACTCCCCCCCCCCTGGCATAATGACACCTTCGGTGGGTCGGTCGTGCAATCGCCAACGCCTGCCGCTCTGATTTATCGGGCCCATAAAAATAAAACCACATTTCTCATTCTCTATATATATCTAGGTATATATGTGTGTGTTTTTTTTATTGTTTGAAAATCAGCTAATTTATATTATTTGTGTTTAACTTAGATTTTGTGTGGGATTACATTTAAATTTGCCAAAAGATCTAACAATAGTACATACATATGTGCATACATTTCATATTACTAGAATATCTATATATATATATATATATAAATATCATTTGAATTAATTTCTCTTAGTAGGTATAATAAACACTTTTTCCATTTCTATTGCGAAATCAACGAACAATACATAATATTGTGGCTTAAAAATTATATTCATATTCATTTCATTTACACCATAATCTTGTTAGATATACATATATATAGTATTATATTTAAGCATTACATTCAGATTTTGGAGCATGGATATGAACAATAAAATTAGTTACCTATAAAGCAGCTGTTGGAAACACAAATAAATAAATCTTTAGACAAATTTACAACAATTTCGACTCATATATATTTAAATAGCCAAGATGCTCAGCAATTGCTTCTAGGACTATGGTAAGCAAAAGTTGTACTCTGCAGGCCTGATGGAGGGCTTTTCAAATGAAACTTTCCAATATCTATGCAAAGCCGAGGAAAAGGTGGTTGAAAGACCAAGGGGTTGGTTTTCCAATCCAGCGGAATAATGTGCAAGCCGCCGGGCCATCCATGCACTGATAAAAAAATGCAACGAAATTTAAATATTTACACGTAGATTTAACTATTTTTACCATCGATTTTTCACTACAGTGTGTTTTAGTAAATATGAAGTGTGCACACTTAATTTTTTAATTTAATATATTCGTAGTAAATTTGAAGTGCTGGACTATTTAATCTAAAGTGTTGACATATTCAAATTAAAATGTAAACATATTAATTATGAATACTGTCATATTCAAATATTTACTATTTTCATATTTAATTTTAGATGTGAACATATTAAAATCCAAATGTGAACATATTAAAATCCAAATGTGAACATATTAAAATCCAAATGTGAACATATTAAGATCCAAATGTTAAAATAGTAATTATGAATATGATTCATATTCAATATTAACTATTTTCATTTTAGATTTTAATATTTTTAATATTTGATTCAAAGTGTTCCCATAGTCAAATTAAACAATTTCATATTAAGAATAAATTATCGATTTATTTACTATCGATAATCGAATTTTTATTTTAATTCAAACTCAACTTAGTTTAATTTTTAGAGTACATGATAATAATAGTAATAACAATAATAGAATTTAAATAGATCTATATTTTACATAGCTTTTACCGTTGTTATTCAAATATACATGTAATGGGTGGCTTGTAAAATATTCTATATCCTTAATAATTAATGTTCGATCTTTCTGGCCAACTTCATAAGCTTGCATATGTTTACAAAATCGTTCAACTTTTATTTCATTACAAGCAGCGTAGATTTGAGCTTCTTCATAAAAAAAGAAAAGCAACTTAAACAATTTCATATTATTTTCGTTATTCCCTAAATAATAGTTTTTTTTATACAAAACTCCTTTAAATTCTAAATTTTCACAATATTTTAAGTGATTGGACTTAAACAATTTTGAATAGCATACATTTTCCAAACATTGTATGTCTGTTATAGATTTGTCTGTAAAGCTATACTTATCAAATAATGGTGGAATACCTGACTCATAACTTAGAAGGCAAGATGAAAAATGAAGGCACTGTTTTATAGCTACCGATCGACATTCATTTTTTCTCGATGTAATTGAAGCTAAATATGCTTTAGATGCTCTATGTTTTGCCTCAAACCGCATAACCCATGCATATTTCAAAGGCCCGCATTTTAAAATAGCTGTAGGGTAATGCACGAGAAAATGGTGTTTAGGTTTTAGCGTAGGTCCATACAAATTCACATATAGCTCATGGTGCACTTTTATTTTTGTTTCTAAGTTTTTTAAATCTTTTGTTGTAAATTTATTTTGAAACAGAATGTCAATAATTTCCAAAAGTTTTGTAAATAAAATCCAATGCTGATTACTTTCTGGAATCAGATCTCCGATTATTAAAGGCAAAAACTTAGCGAAACAAAATTTTTCACTAGCTGTCATTCTAAGTTCATTTTTCTTAAGTTTAGTTAATTCTAGCGGTCGTGACGAGTTCTTTATTTCTATTTCGCCATAAGAAAACAGATTTTTTCTACTGTTAATTGTTGATAAACATACAATTTTTTCATTAATTAAAGCGTTTAAGGTTTGACAAATACCGTAAACACATACGCCTTCTAAAACATCATGCATCAAATCAAAATAAAAGTTTTCTGTTACGTGGAAGTTTTTTAGTTCATTGAATATACAAACAGTTTTAATACCAGTCTCTAAAAAATTATTTGCTTCCAAATCATTTTCATAACAATTTTTATCTCTTAAATACTCTTTGTGCTCTTCACTGTCTGATTTCATTTCTAAGCTACTTCTTTTACACACTCGACAAAATCGCTTAGCCCTAAATGATTGAACAAAACCAAATATAGAATTCAATCCTAAGTTATCTCCTAAAATAAGGCCTAAAACAAAATATATTTGTTTTGATCCTTCAGGTATTTGTATTTCAATTCCATTTTCTAATTCTTCAAGCTCACGAAATAAGTGGTTAAAAATGATTTCATGGTCATTTCTTTTCAATGCATGTGATGGAATATATGCAAACGGGAAAATGAAATCTAATTTGGATAATAAATGCTGAGGCAAGGTTGGAAATGAATAATAGCAGCCACATATAGAAGATACATGAGCTCCTAAAGCATTGTTTATTTGAAAGTCATCAAAATACAGAAAAAATGGAATCACAATGTCATCAGGAAGAAAATTCTGCAGTTTGTTTGCAAATGTTTCAGAATTTACAAAGTTAATAAGGTTACCTTGATTTTGAAGTAATTTTTGATTTTGAAGTGTTAGATTCAAAACATTAGGAAGTTCAAAAAATGATTTAATTTGAAATTTTATAGGCATAATATGGATATCTATTTTATTCGGGAAAAGAGATGCATTTCCTTTTTTAAATTTAGGGCCGATTTTATTTGATACAGTAAATGACTTGGGATCTTCAAATAAATGCATTTCTTTTAAAAATTTAAAAAGCCGGTATTCCGATTTTATTTCCTCAAACGGGCTGGTTAAAAAGGAAGTAATGCATTCAAGTGCTTCTTTAGTTTCAGAATTGCATGCGCTGTAATAATTGAGAGCTTTGGAGATAGGCGAAATCAATTTAGTTATCAGGTATTGAATAGCAGTTACTTCATTTCTAGGCATGAAACATTTAGAATGCAGCCCAAGTGTTAATTGAAGACATTTTTTTTTTAGATCTGATATATATTCCTGGATATTAAAACTGTCGTCTAAATCAAAACTATTATATTTTACTAAACAGGCTTTTTCAATTTGTATTTCATGTGAATGGAAATCCGGGTTAACCATATTTTGAGAAACAAAATCTTCATAAAAGGAGTCACCAATCGCATTTTCATGTGTCTTACATAAATGTTTTTTAAATATACAATATTTCAAAAATAATTGATTGCAATTGTTAATTTTGCATTGTAACGGGTCACAGAACCCAGGCTTTTTTAAAACATGATCATTTTGTAAATGATGGATTAATAAATCCGCAGTGTTAAATTTTTTGTTACATCGAAAGCATGGAAACATTTTTACAGCAATGTTTTATTTTCACTTTCTCATAAAACTTAATAAAGCAGTTAAGTTTGCAGACTTTACATCATAAGGCGTGTCAATTTCATAAAAGTATTTTTGTATGAATAGCCATGGAAACTTCGAAGCTATTGGATAATGCAGATTTAGGGTGTTAAAAAGTTTGAAGCAAACATCCAAACAATCAATAAATGAATCTAATTTGTATATTGTTTTATCAAAGTATACAAAGAACGACTTTATATCGTTGGAGTTCACGCCTTCCACAATGATAAAAGGTTGAAGTGTATTTGAATTACCGTAATTTTTGCAAATAAGATTGTTTACTTTACGCTCGTAGTCCCCAATTGTATCCAAACGAAGCACGAGACTTTCCTGTGAGTCCAATAAAGTTACCCGTGTTCTTGAAGTCTTTGATTTAGATGAATGCCAACTGTTAGAAGGTAAGACCGACGGTAGAAGAGCTGTTATTATGTAGTCCGAAGAATCTAAAATATCAGTGAAATATATTTTTAATTGTAATCAATAATTCAAGCACAGCAATAATATATAAAATTACCAATAGATTCCGCCGACTGAACTTGTTCCAATAAATGTTTACATGTAGCATTGTGAATATTTTCCTTATAGTATATAACTATTTTCTTTTTAAAATTATCCCATTTAGATACTAACATAGATTCTTTTCCTGGATACGCAATTGTAAAATCAAGCTTGATCTGCAAAACATAATTTAAAAAAAAAAAACTTCAATGATTTACGTATAAAATAATCTTGTAAATGTTGGATGATTTCAAAAAATGTAATATGGGTAAATCTGAAGTTAAAAAGCTCAAATAAAACTAAAAATATAACTGAAGAATTAAACATTTGGAAGGCCTGGAATCTTACCAAATCCACTGCACGAGAATCGGTATACTTCGGCCATTCTTGCAAAAATTCGCATGCATTCAAGGTTTGGGATTCTTTACGACGCAATTCATAAGTTTTTGACCACTTATCAAGTACTGCATTCCAATCCGAAACTTCTCTCTTCAAGGCAGTCTTCAATGCATTATGAAGTGTTTCATCAACAGGATCCTGAAATGTGTCTGCTTCACTGCTATTAAGTGATTCCTCTTCTATTCTGCTAAACTTCGCGCGCTTTGCTCGACTATTGGTATATTTTGCATACAATTTTCCACCTGGGTTTTTTCTACCAGTTCTTGGAATAAAATAAATTTCCTGTAAAAGGATTAGGATAAAGATACTTAAATATTCTTCTTTGACTGTGCAAAATATTCTTACCTTCGATTCAGACTCAGAAGGAAATATCGAAACAATTTGATTAACTATTAAAGGATAATCAGATGTTCTAATTTTAACTTCTTTACAGTTAGCTTCCTCGACAATTAATGAAATAATACTATCTCTATGAAAATTTGTTAACTCCAAATGTTTTTCAAAGTAGCTTAATATGGCTTGTCCTCTTGTGTTATTTTCCAAAATATAAAAAACATCCTACAAATAATAATAACAATTTAAAAAATTATATTTAAAATTATATAATAACCAATAGTGTTGGTTACTATATGTATATATTGGATATACTGGTTATCCCAAAAAACAATGAAGCACAACAAAAACATAAACATTATCACTTACCAACGGTAAAAGGGCGTGGTCGGTTTTGTTGGTAGTTGGTGTAGATGGCGATTCTTCCAGCCAAGCGGTTACCTTGGAGCGCGCCGAGAAGGTTTCATCATCAATATTATACTGCTTATTAATATATTATTATTATTATTATTATTATTATATATATATATATATATATATATATATATATATATATATATATATATATATATATATATATATATATAAACGTATTACATGCCTCTTTCTTACGCCAATGAAAAAGTTTGACCCTAAACTCGGCTCTCAATCCAACGTTTGAAATAATACTCGTTATATCATCTTTGGATATATATTTCAATGACCGGAATGACACACCATGGGCTTTACAAAAATAAATAAAAATAAGGAACAAAAAAATTTTTATAAAAGCAAATTAAAGTGAACTCACATTTTAGGACTTCAAATAATTCTTCTAATTCAAATTTCTTTAATAAGTTCATTAATTGAGCGTCATCTTCTTCGGATAAATCTGAATTTTGCTTTTTAATGTCCATAACCTAAAATCAAACAATTAATAAATACTAATTACACCAAGTTATTATTCAGCATTTATTATGCGTACATACATATGTATACACATATTCAAAGGTTAAGCAGTAAATAGCACAACCACGTTTGTGCATGGTTACATGCTAAATAAATGATCACATTTTGCATTGCCTACAAACGCATACATACTCGTATTAATGTACGTATGTTCAATTATAAGTACATATATTTTTAGGAATTTATAAAAAAATGAATTATTTGAAGACTTATAATGTGAGTCAATTAAGCATGTACAGCAGTTATTAATTGCCAATATATGTATGTAAATACATAACTATATGCATATGGTCAAGCGCGTTCATTTTTCACAAAAATCTGTACACTATTGAATGACGCGTCGCTTCTTGCACTGAGACAAAAGAGAAATAGCGATTACGCGGAAAGTACAGATTACCGCGAAAAATAGGTTGCTATGCAGTGGCATGCGTATGAAACTGTATATTTTTTCCCAGATTGTTCTTTTTTTCATATGCATCTACGTACACAATATATGCATGTATGTATGTATATACATACATATATATGTACCCAAATAACAACTATATCACACATTTGAAGCTTTACATATTTTAACTTCTTTATTTAGTCACAATTACGACGACATTTACGCTATATGCACATACATATGTTTGTATGTAGGCTACCACGTAATATGTTGTATACAAAATTATGTTTCTTGCGGACACGATGCAAGAAACTATAAATGGCAATTTTGTATGTATGTGTGTACGCGTACAAATATATTATACATATGTAAATGTTCATACTTACGCAGATCAATTTATTCCAACACAATCACTATTTTATTATGTTTTTTTTTTCACTATAATTCAATTAATTACTTTGGCACACGTCCGTCTTTGACAAAAATCAACTCACAATTGACCGACGCTCGTCATAAAGAATATCGATACATATCGCTGCGTGTATGCATTATTTGCGAAAAGAACGCAAAAGAAGAAGAAGAATGCGTGCATTCCGTGCAGTAAAGTGTGTGCTTTTTAATATTTCATATGGTTTAACATTAAACTGAATATGACACACTTTAATAACAAAATTTTACACTTTGTTTTGAATATTATTTATATTAAAATCACTAATTAAATATGTTTTTAGTAAAATTTACGATGTTTATATTTGATTGGAATATAAAATAGTAGAAATTTAATTTAATATGAAAATATTCATCTGTACTATGCCACTTTTTTATCAGTGTAGGTTTGCGGGAGCTGAAAAATGTAACAGGCAGAAGGAGGCGTGGCAGACCCCACAAAGTATATATATTCTTGATCAGCATGACGAGACGAGTCGATCTAGCCCTGTCTGTCTGTCTGTCCGTCTGTCCGTCTGTCCGTCTGTCCGTCTGTCCGTCCGTATGAACACCTGGATCTCAGAGACTATAAGAGATAGAGACACCAAATTTTGCACGAAGATGCGTTATGTGTGTATTCTATACGAGTTTGTTTTATTTTTTTGATTTTCCCCCCCACTTCCCCCCTATGGGGGTTTTCCCGATTTTCCATTCGTATAATCGCCTATATCTCGGAGACTATAAGACCTAGGAACACCAAATTTTAGTCCCAGATGCCTTATGTGAATACGAAGAAAATGTATATTTTGGAATTCCCCTCCCTCCCCCCTCTACCCCGCAAATCGTAACTCCCGTAATTCTTGGAATTTCGAACTAAAATTTTGGAAATACCCCCAGTTAGTTATTATGTGTCCGTATGCCAAATTTCATTATGATAGACCGATTTAACAAGAAGTTATAGCCATAAATATTTTTGCTGATGCAGCGCTGCTGCAGCGCTGCTCAAGCGCTGCCCGCGGCTGTTGTTGATGTTGCTGTTTGGTTGACTGCGAAAATGCTTACACAGACACGAATAGATGCGCATAGGCATACATACACTCACAGAGACGCAATTGCTATGTAAATGTGCAATTATACACCCTTTACGTGAGTTCGAATACCGAGAGAGGTAAAATCGATCAAATTTTTTTTTTATTTTCTTAATTTTTTTTATTTTTTATAATTATAAACATATGTACAGAGTATTTCAAAGTCGGGACACCCGACTTTAGCTTTTTTACTTGTTTTTTATTAAACTTCACATTAACTATGTACAATAAATAACAAAAAAAATGTATATTAAACAGAAATTGCGTAAGATAATATATTCTAAAATAAATACATATATATAAATATACAGGGTGGTCTATATAGTGTTTTTTGTTGTTGTTGTTTTTCTTATAATCATATGTTATTTTGAGAGTGGCAGAGCTCTTTCCTGCTGGAAATCAATTTCATGTCTTTACGGAACGAAATTATTAGCTTTACTATGCGCTTGAACAGAGTTGGGAATTACGGCAAACTTATTTCCAAAGTCAATAAGTGTTGTGAGGCCCGAACAGTGCGTTTATTGGGGAGAAGTTTTGGGCGAAATAGGGCGCCCAAAAAGGGCCTGCTGTACGCAAATTTTGTGCAACAGACGAGTATGTAGCTGCCTTAGACAAGACTTATAGACTCGCCATTTAACTCAACCTGATTCGAAATCATAAAATCATATTTTCGGATAAAGTGCATTTTCATCTCTGCGGCTATGTTAACAAGCAAAACTGTTGCATCCGGATAACGAAAAATTCGCACATGAACGTGCCTGTACTCAGAGAGTGAAAATGCTGAACACATGAATTTTTTGTGGCCGATATGTGTAGACATGGGCTTGCACGGTCTTGGTTTCAGCAAAATGGCGGGCCGTGCCACAAAAAAAATCAATTTTGCAAATGGATATATATAATATAGTGGTTTCTTTTTAAAAATGTAAAGTTGAAGAAGAAAAGTCAAAAATCAATCGAAGGAGCAACCATTTCCAATAATTATGGAATTATGGATTTGCCTCATTTGACTGCCTCGACTAGCTTGGCAGTAGCCTATCCTGTTAACAGAGTTTTCCCTTACCTTAAGTCGGTTTCGGGCTCTATGTGAAGAATGACAATTGAGAAGCTGAATCGGATTATTCGCCTCACATCGATCCTACCATTATGCGTAAAGCGATTCATTTCGTTCTGCGGATAGATCTAAGTATTACACAGACTTCTTTTCAAGATTACCAACGGGAGAGAGCTGTCACTATCGAAAATAGTACATGACTATATGGAGCACCCTATATATACATAGTTACATCGATATCTAAACTACACAAGGTCATAACAAAAGGGAGAGAGACTCGACAATGGAGACAATAGCGCAAAGCTTTTGAACAGTGCATGCGCATCGAGACACGTGCAAGTATCTGACAAATAAGGTTGTTTGTTTTCGTTTTTGTATAACTGAGTGCTTATATATTTGGTCGAAGCTTTAAAATTGAAAATAAGTGTTAAATTTTTGTTGCTTCACTTCTCACTTCACATCTTCGCTGCGCTTCGATTATAATTTATGTACAAAGTTCGTGCTGCAATTAAACGTAACGCGCTTAAACAACTAATACGAAAAAGTATCTACAAGATATTTATGTGTGTGTGTGTGTGTGTGTATTTGTATTTTGTTATTTGTCGGTTGATTTGTTTTGTTTTGTTGTTTTGTTGTACCTACTCTAAAGTATTGTATTGTATCTTTATGCGTGACACGCTCGCTCAACGGCGCAAAATCGTTAAAATTTTATCGCTTCAACGAACGTGCGTGTGCGCTTGTGCTTGTGTGTGTGTGTGTGTGTGAGTCAGTGTGTGTGCGTGTGTAGGTTTGCCACACCACCAAACCGCCCCCCATACCGCCCAACGACCCCTGAACATTGGAAGTGCGCGTTCATTTCATATACCTTTACAATACTACGAGTATTCGTATTTATAAGTATTCGTATCGCTTTGTGGCCCAACGCCAACGTCAACACCAAAGCTTCCGATATAAAATATTCCATATGCGATTCATTTTGGTTTTTTGTTTTCTTCTTTTCTCCATTATTTATTGATATTTTGTTACCCTTCACGAAAGCCTTTTTTAAAACATAAGGCCTACCTCTTGTCATTGACATGTTCATCTTTTATTTATCATCTGTTTATCAAGTATATATTTCATTCTTTGGCGTTATCCTGAAATATCGCCAAACCGCTTATTGAAATACTTTCCCATAATCGAAATCTGATATAAAATGCCTTTGCTCGAAAAAATTACCCAACTTACTTAAGCAATATTACTAAAGAAATTCTCTGTCGAACTTCTTGTAGAAAACCTCTTTGCAATATATTGGAACTAACAGCTTTTTAAGTTCAAATGGTAAGAAGCCTAGCAGTTTATCAGCAGTAACTAAAAAGCCTAACATTAAGCAGCGTTCTATAAAAATGCCTAACAATTTAATTTAAAAATGTGCAGTTTTATAACCGAAATACATATATTCCCGACTTTGATTCTTTTGATATTGTTTATCGGCTTTTAAATATAAACTCAGCAATATTGGTATCTAAGATGCGGCTACTGGTCCTTTCCAACAGTTTAGCTGTTTGCTGATTAAAGCAACTTCAGTACCCAATCGGGCATTTGAGGAATTCAATATGGGTATTCCTGCAACTCTTTAAAATGCGCCTATTTTGTTTTCTATTAAAAATTAGTTGTGCATCAACTATATCATACACAATAAAGCAGGAATGCAATTGGGAGCTTGAGGGCTTCAAAGTGTTGTGTACCCCTATACCCAATATGGGTATTATAATGAGTTATAATGCTCTCATTGGAATTTCTTTCAAAAACAGGTTGTGTATCAACTTTTGTATACAAAATGAGGCAAGAAAGATTCAAATAAATATAGCAATCGGCAGCTTGAGGGCTTCAAAGTGTAATGTACACCTATACCCGATAGGGGTATTCCTGCACTCATTATAAAGCGCTTCAAAGTATAATTTATACCTATACCCAATATGGGTATTCCCGCAACTCATAATGAGCCCCCCATTTGGTCTTTTACCAAGCAGTGGGTCAACTATTCTAATCAAAAAATAAATAAAAATAAAAAAAAAAATCACAACAATCGGAAACTTGAGAGCCTATTTTCCCTATTTTTTTTTATCAAAGTACGCATGTTGATTATTCTGCTCTTCAAAAATAATCGAAATAATCAAAGTGGGGAATACTCTATCACTATTTATTTCTACCACTAATGCGAACATGTTTGTAGTTGTTGCAATTTTTATAATCGTTTGCATTTATTCGCCTTCTTTTGTTTTTGTTGCGCTTGTTTTTATTTAATATTTTGGATTTCTGGGCCAGCTATTCTCTGTTATTGCTGTAGGGTGTTTATATATTTTTGAATTTTATTAAAATATTTGCATTGCTCTTGTTGTTGTTGTTGTTGTTGATTTAGTTGTTCGTTTTTGCAAATGTTGAAATATTTTTGTGTTTTTAGTGATAAAAACAATTTGTTGACTATTTACCAGCGAACGGGCACTTTCCAAAAAAAAAATGCCCGCTGTTTTTATTGAATAACAAATATTAGGCAATGCTTACGTAGATAACGGTGTCTGTATGTATTGCTTTCTAATGAAGGTATTTACGGTTAGTTTAAGGCTTATAAATTGAATGTTTACTCTTGTGTCTGTGTGTTTGTTTGTTTGTTTGTATTTGTTGTTTTTTTTTTTGTATCTAGTGAATGCGTATGTTATTCGCACGTCTACAAAATCGTGTTTATGAAGCATACTTAGCTCACGTGATCAACAAATATACTATAAGTGAGTATGTTGTTGCTGTGCTAATTGAAAACTGACGATTCCCGTGCTGCCTCTTTGTGCCACGCTCTGTTGCAATTTAGAGCTCGTCTCTATTAGTTGATGCTGTCGCTGCCGCCGCCATCGCCATTGCCATTGCTGTTGTTGTTGTTTTGAAAACTTTCGATCGGCGCCACTAGATACATTTGCGAGCCGCACATCCAAAGAAACGCTGCAGAAGATACAGAGAGAGAAGAAACACAAAACTTAAATGTAAATGTTATATCTTCGAGTACGACTAGGTGTCTATATACTATATGTAGTATATGTATGGGTGTGTGTGTGTTTTGGTAAAAAAAAAAAAGACAAAGTCTACAGAACGAACAGTTGGTGGCGAAAATACAAATGATGTAATGACTAGTGTTCATTAAAGGCCAAAAGCAGCAAGCGAAGTTCTTGGTTCCTATAACGGCAAAAACAAAAACAACCTTTGAATGAATGAGGGAATGAATGAATGACCGAGCCATCGTAGCCACAAATATGAAGAAAGAAAGACACATTGACGACGAAGACAACGACGATGACGACGACGACGGAGGCCGCTAAATTTATATAATGACTACTTGAGAAAACGAAGGAAGGAACAAAAAACAAAAGGCAACAAAAACAACTCAAACACGAAATGTAATTTGTATAATTTGAGTTTCTTTCGGTGAGTGTGGGAAACGCGAAAAAAGAAAACACATACGAGTAGTACGTAGTGCAAGTTCTTTCAGTGCCTTTAGTCTACTTAGAAGCAATTAACTCAAGTCAAGTTATGTGTTCCTACTTTAGTTTAACAAATATAATTAACAAATGACATCAGCAAAATCGTTGCTCTTCATTGATAATCTATGTAGGTCCGAGAAGAGAATCGGACAAACTATAACTGAAATAACAGTACTAGTTACAAAAAACATATCACCATTTATCTGAGAACGAAATCTTTATCTTCCTCTAACTATCTACTTTAGTTTGAGAAATATAATTAACAAATGACATCAGCAAAATTGTTCCTCTTCATTGATAATCTATGTAGGTCCGAGAAAAGAATCGGAAAACCTATAACTAATATAACAGTACGAGTTACAAAAAACATATCACCATTTATCTGAAACCGAAATCTTTATCTTCCTCTAACTATATACTGTAGTTTAAGAAATATAATTAACAAATTACATCAGCAAAATCGTTGCTCTTCTTTGATAATCTATGTAGGTCCGAGAAGAGAATCGAAAACCCTATAACTAATATAACAGTACAAATGTAGGCTCATTGTTTACTCAAGTAGCAAAAAATCATATCACCATTTATCTGAGAACGAAATCTTTATCTCGTCGGGTCGCACTTACAGCGGGGTTCCAGGTTTTTTTTTAAGTCGCAAACATTTTCATATTCCTCATAAAAGAAACCCTTCCCAAGTCGCTAAAGATATGGTACGCAAGCCAGAAAGGTCCCTATGGTTTCTAATATTCATAAATATACATATCTTAGGAAATCACTTAAACTCCTTCAGTTTGGAACACTATGCTGTATTGATGTCATCGAGAAATATGTTTTCTAAAAAGCTGTTTTAAAAACTCTTTAATATAGCATTTCTGTAAGCAATGACGCAAGAATATGTTTTCGGCTGTTCTGTGGTTTATTTCTATATCATTATCTGGTTTCTAGAATATTTTGTGGTTTCCTATATGCCGATAAAAAAGTGATCTTGGGCTGCACTTGAGATAGAATAATGACTTGTTTCCTCTTTGGCTATCAATCCTGTAGTGCAGGTACTCTCCAAGCTATCCTACACATCTTTTTTCGTCGTCCATGGTAACATTATTAGATGTGAGAAAAATCTTCTTAATATCTTAACAAGTTTTTCTTATAGAGAATATTTATAAATCATGTCGTTTCTGTCTATATATATAAAACAAAGTCGTGTCTGTTCGAACACTTTATTTGACTTTTGATTTGTTGTATTTGTATCCGTCCGAAATAGCAGAATAACTATGTTTGCCTAAAAACATTGAAATTCGAGTTCCAAAGGGGGGAAAACAAAGTCGAAAGTTTGCATGAAAATTCCGAATTTTTCAAGCGATAACAAATAAACCGTTCCAGATTTTTCTGTTAATCCAGTCAGAGCCGCGAAAGTGTAATTTATTTAATTAACTAGTATATAATATAAAGTAATCTGTCATGATTGGGGCCTACACAGTATATATGTCCCTCTAAAGAAGCATCAATGCCGAGTTCTAGAAATCTGGCAAGGGTAGTGTCTTGGCTCTCAAAAAGGGTGTTTTAGAAATAAAAGCATAAGTAATCGATGCAGGAAAATGTTTTTTGCAGCATGCAGTGAACTCAGAATTTTACGCTACACTTAATCATAAAAGTGTATACTTAAAATCGGCGATATATATGCAAGTAATATAATTGATAAGACTTACCTTGTGACTAAGCTGAACTCGCCACCGATGCCAGAGTGTCAGTAGCGGCGATTTGTACTGGGGGCTTGGGCAGAGAATCGGCCACACTCGTCACAATGCTGGCCGACAGAAGCGGGACTGCACCGCTTGAGGTGGTTGCGGCCTTTGTAGCACCACTGGAACTATTCTCCTTGGCATCCGATTTGCCAGTGACTGCAGCGGTGGCAATGTTGGCTTTGCTCGCATTTGCTGACTCCGCTGATTTGGTGTTCGGGTCCTCTTTGCTGACTTTCGGACTGGAGCTGGAGCTCACCAGTGGTAGCTCCTCGGCCCGAGCTGCTGCCTTGGCCTCGGCCCGTATATTCAAATTGGCGGCAACCTGATCGATCGTTGTCGCCTTCTTAATGGCACGCGGTGAAGTAGCCGTGGCGGCTCCAGAGCCGGAGCTATTTGTGGGACTCAGAAGCTTGACAGTGGGGACGAGCTTGGACTTATCCTCGCTGGGAGTGGTCGCTTTCAAGGAACTAATGCTGCTGGCCACCGAAATGGTTTTGGCGCTGGTCGTCAACGCTGTCGCAGCGCTAACTGTTGTCGCCTGACTCTGACTCTGGCTCAGACTCTGGTTCTGATTGCGGAAGGCCAGGGCCGAGGGATTGGGGATGTTACGGACCGATGCATTCTGCTGGCGTACCAGCGTGTTCTTTGGCTTATTATCGAAGATGTTGGCCTTTATCGAGATCTTCTCGCGCGCCGTTGCCGACTCGGAGAGCATATGCAAATTTTGCAGATCGTCACCACTGCCTCCGGTCGCACCACTCGCCGCACTGGCGGCATTCGCGGTGGCTGCAGTGGTGCTATTACCTCCATTGCTGTTGGCTGATATGTTCTGCTTGATTTTGTTGAGCGCTGCCTCCAAGCTGTTGCCCACTGGCGGCGTGCTTGGCGTTAGCATTGGAGCCACCGCACTGGGCGATGTTGGAGTCAGGGCCGATTTGGTGCCCGCCGCCTGTGGTTGTGGCTGTGGCTGTGTCTGTGCCTGCTTTGGCGTCGTACTGGCATTGCGAGCTGGCCCCGCTGATAAATCAAGTATGTCGGCATCCTTAGCATTCGTGCTTGTTGCCGCTGCTGTTGTTGTTGTTTCTGTTGCTTCTGCTGCTGCTGCTGTTGTTGTTGTTGTTGTTGGAGATACTGTTGTTGGGCGAAAATCGCGCAAACTTGTTTTCGACTGCTGGCTGTCCGACGCTGCAGCCGTGCCATTGGCTTTGGTTTGACTGGCAGCGGCTGCTGCAGTGGTTGCTGCCACACCAGCGGGTTTCTTTGAATTGCTGGCATCGGCCTTTGGGGCAGCAGCCGTGCTGGCCGAGCTTGCCGCGCTTGACTTTGATTGAAACGCAAGTGGAACGGTGTTGCGCAGATTTATTAATGCAGGCGGAGATGTCCGATAAGCACTCGGACTCTGATTCTGATTCTGAGTCTGGCTTTGGCTCTGGTTCTGGCTCTGGCTCTGGTTTTGAGTGTGGCTGTGGTAGCCGCGTTGTGGGCTCTGTGCCGTGGACAGCGGTGGTGACTTGACAATTGTGGGCATTGGTGGGGACTGCGGCTGCGCGACACGTTTGCTTTTTGGCAAGGCTGCTGGTGGTCCCATTAGGCGGTTGCCACTAGGCGGACTAAGTGGTGGCATACTCAGCTTTGTGGGCCCACCACCCATCTTGTTGTTATTGTTGTTATTGTTGTTGTTGTTGATGTTGGGCGATATGCGAACAATTTCCAAAGCGGGCTTATGGTTGAGGGAAGCAGCCTCCACGTAGGGCTGATGGAGACCCTGTATGTGGGCCTGTTGATAGGCCCGCGGACGCTGCGTTATGGTCACTCCACCACCGGCCATGGGTGTGGATGGCATCACCAGACTCAACGAGGTCGGACAGAGCTGTGGCAGCGGCTGCTGTTGTGGTTGCTGTTTGGCCAGTTCGGGCCCATAGAGACGCATGGGTGGTGCATAGGCGTGTGGTGCATTGACAGTTGCCGTTCTGTTCGCCTGAATACTGGCCAAGTACTTGGCCGCTTGCTGTTGATAGTCGAGGCGGGGCTGCTTGGCCATCGACGGATGGGTCTCATCCAGAGATAAGGAGCGTTTGGGCTGCTTATTCGCTGAGCTGGCAATGGAGGTAGGGGTGGAGAGGTAGCGTTGCATGTGTTGCATGTGTGGCGCCTGTCGGGTCGGTGGTAATGGCACCACAAAATGCGGTGCGGGTGCACACTTAACAGTCGATTGTGGCGCCGGTGGTGGTGGTGTGGGCTTGCGTAAGAGAGGTTTGGGCGAGGCTGGCTTAGACGGTGGCATCTGCACACGCTGTGGCGGCTCACTGGGCTTGGATTTGGCTACGCTGGGTGGCGACACATTTGCTGCCGTAGATGGTGCTGTTGTTGCTGCTGCTGCTGCTGCACCACCAGCAGTTCCTGTGCCGCTGGGTATAAAGGCCTTAAACAAACTGGGTGGCAGCGGTGGCGACGACGGCAAACCTGGCTCTTTCACATTATTCTGCTGTGGCTTGGCCGCCGCATTCGCCTCGGCGGTTGCGGCCACCTCAAGGCAGGGCATTAAGTTGTTAATGCTGCGCGACTCCTCGCCCAGAGTTTTGTTTAAGGCATTCATGCTGTCGTTTTCCGTTTCCTCCAGCTTAAGTTTATTAAGCGAGACCATCGATTGCAGGGCGGGCATCTCGCCACCGGATACGGAATGGGAGCGCTTCAAGTCCAGCTTGTGCGCCTTGTGGTTGTGGGTGGTGGTGATTTTCATTTTCATTTTGCCATCCGTTTGGGAGGAGATTTCCGCATGCAACTTCTTCCGCTTGCCATTCGAGTCCTTCGGCTCTTTGGAATGCTTCTTCTTACGCTTGCGATGTGACGAAGAAGATGAGGAGGTCGAGGTGCTGGCATCAACTGTGGCTGCACCGAGCGTTAAGAGACCATTGGATGAGGAGCCAGTGGTGGAGGAGGAGCACGAGGACATGGGCGAAGCACTGGGACTGTATTTTGTTTCGCTCGTTACCGGCAATGTTGGCTCCTTGGGCTGCAGCCCAATGTTCTTGGCATAGGTCTTCAGGTCCAGCTCCACGGCTGGCGTTTCCCTGTCCTCGAGTCGGGCATCGGCCGACTTTGGCATTGAAAGCTTCGTTTTCATACTATTCAATTCGATCTTAAGTCTTAGCATATTCTTGGCCGTCGCATTGGGCGATTTCTTGTTGGCGGTCTTTAGCTCGAAGACCCCATCGTCGGGATAGGTGCCGGACTTGCTCAGCTGCGATTGTGGTATGCTTACCAAAATATTTGCCGTACCAATGTTCGATTGTGGCTCTTGCGGCTCACTCTTGACCTTCACCAGCGCAGGCGGAGGCGCTGGACGTGCGGGCGTAGGCGTAGGCGTGGGCGTGGACGCAGACATTGTGTTTGTTGTTGTTGTTGCTGTAGTCGCAGCTCCTGCAGTTGTCGCGTTCACCGAACTATAGTCACTATAGCGCATGTCATTGCTGCGCAAGCTCTTGAAATTGCTCAGAGTTTGGGCGCCTTCGTCCGTTTCGCGCTTGTTGGCCACTGCCGTGGGCGACGACTTCTTGCCCTTGGCCAGTCCATTATCCTTGGCCGCCTTGGCTGTCGACTTGCTGCGCGTTTTGTTGTTGTTGTTGTTGTTATTATTGCTGGTGGAACGTGACGGCTGTGTCTCCACCACGTCATCGGCGAATGTGACAGACTTGGTTGTGTGTGGACTTGTGGTTGCTGTGGCGGCTGTTGAATTCACTTTGTTGTCGTTGTTCTTGCCAGTGGTGGTGGTGGTGGTAATGCTGCTGATGGTGGTGGTGGCGGCTAGAGTGCGACCCCCAGTGTGGCTTAACTCAATAGCCTGATTAACTTTCGATAAATTGTTTTCATCGTTTTTTGCCGTCACGCTGTCATACAACAAGACTCTATAGCGAAAAGCCATTGGCGCGTGCTGCAAAAGTTGTGTGGAGTAAGGGGGTTTCCCCCAACAAGGGGCGAACATTGAAAAGTAGACGTTAGGTTAATCTAGCGACACAATTGGATTTGCCAGCGGCTAATAACTAGTGGTGCTTAACACCCAACAGAATAGAGTCAGTCATCTCCCTCCCCACCCTCGATGACATAAAACTTACAACTCTATGAAGAACTTACCCGACTCCATTTGTAACAGTAGCCAACGTCCATGAGCGTAAAGTGCTGTGGCAGCACTTCATCCTCATATGTGACCTCGACTTCGATTTGCTTGTTGTCCGGATCAATATCATATTTCGAACAGAGAAACCGTTTCAGATGATGCACCGTAAGGCCAGCGGGACATTGAAGATAACATACGGGCGGGATTTCACCCGCAGCACAATTTCTTAGCATGGCGGGATGATATTCTAAAGATAAGCTGCAATCAAACGTTGAAGGAAGCAATACGAAAACAGTTAGACAGACAGAACAGACCTCTTGAGTAATGACTTTTATTTTTTGTGGATCGTGCCTAACTAGAAAGCAGCATCTTCTACTTATATCATTTATAAAAGGTTTGACTGCAAGGGAATGGGTTTTCAAGCATCTTTGGAGAACTTAAAATTTGATCAAATAATTTTGTGTTTCAAAAAATTACCAAAGGCGTTTCAAATATTGATTACACAGTAGACCTCTTGAGTAATGATTTTAATTTTTAGTGGAATTCTACTAATATCATTTATAAAAGGATTGCATTTTCTAGCAATTTTGGAGGAATTAAAATTTGAAAAAAGTAATTTTGTGTTTCAAATAAATGCCAAAGGTGATTAAAATATTGATTGCAGAACAGGCCTATTGAGTAATGACTTTTATTTGCTAGATCGTACCCAACTAGAAAGGACCACCTTCTACTTATATCATTTATAAAAGGTTTGACTAAAAGAGAATGGGTGTTCAAGCATCTTTGGAGAACTTAAAATTTGATCAAATAATTTTGTATTTCAAAAAATTACCAAAGGCGTTTCAAATATTGATTACACAGTAGACCTCTTGAGACCTTTATTTGTTAGATGATCGTGCCTAACTAGAAAGCACCAAATTCTACTAATATCATTTATAAAAGGATTGCATTTTCAAGCATCTTTGGAGAGCTTAAAATGTGAAAAACTAAAGTTTGTGTTTCAAATAAATGCCAAAGGTACACAAAACATTGATTTCAGGATCATAATTGCTCACCTAATAGGCTCTGCTGGCGTAAAGAACTCTTGCTTCTGCTTCTGTATCTCCTCCGTGTCCAGATCCACATGCTGCTCCACAAACTCGGCCAAGCGCTTAGACTCGCGCTGATACAGACCCGGCACCAGTTTGAAGATGAAAGCGCGCAACGTGTCGTCGGACCTAAGTAAGTTCAAGTTAGTTTTATGCCTATATTCTAGAATATATTGATCTTAGTCGACGCAGACACAAGATCCGGTGCAGATCTTTGTGTTGTGTCGCATAAACAGTCAGCTGAGATCATTGTAAGGTAACTTGGGGTATTTTGGAAGATAACGTACTTAAGGTTGAACTCGTTTATCTGCTTGCCACTTGGTTTGCATTGCGGACAATAGACGTCGCGCAGTAGATGCTTCAGAATGCAGCTCCGGCAATCTGTAATTGATTCTGGTTGCAATGCATGGTTCGTTAGCATTGGATGTGCTCTACTTACATGTGTGGTAGCAGTAGTCCACAGTTGTGGGGTCTATCATGTAGCCCTGGCAAATGCGACAAATAATCTGCTCGTGGAACTCACGCACATCACCGCGCCGTGTATGGGATTGGGACGCCAACGCCAACGCGCTTGTCTCAGAGTCCCCCTCCATTGCCTCTTGATTGGACTGCGACGTCTTGTTGTCGTCCAAATCGGTTGGTAGATGCATTCTCTTTTTTTGTTCTTTGTTTTTCTTATTTCAAGTGCTCTGGTTTTGGTCAGCGCTCAGATGGACAGCCTCTATCGAATATTGGGCGCATAAGCATGTCCTGCAAAGGCGCAAAAACATGAAGTGACAACTATAAGCAACACAAAAACAAAGCAAAGAATAAAAGCAGTGCAATGCACACACACAAAGATACTAGATACATAGATACAACACACAATCGCAGGTTCACATGTCAAACGAAAGCTAATGACAGCTAATCAACTGGCACATCATCGTCATCTTTTTGATGATCACCACAGACCACAGACTACGCCAATCTCAACTACAGTTTAACCTAAGCCTGGGGAACTCTTTGGGGAATTCATTGAAGGCAAAAATGCCTATGGAGAATATTAAATAAATATTTTATCATCAAACGAATATTTGTTTTTTTTCGATATGGAATCCTTGAAATGCAAACAGAATCAACTGTTTCTGACTAAATTGAAAAGAAGAAAATGAAATGATTTAGAGAGAACATCTCTTTTCGGAGAATCCGATTACAACTAAACTTTATCTATATGAACATTTTTTCAGAAAATAAATAACTCCACAAATCATTGAATAGAAATAATTGTAATATGAAATATTAAGGACCCTTTCTTATAAAATAGTTGAAATACCATTTCTTTAAAGGTAAATTGATTTAAAAAAGATTATTAAGAGAAAATATTTCTTTTCTAAGTACCGAAAACTCTTCTTATATAATTTATTTCTGATTACTAGTAGAACTCTTTAAATAACCGTTTCTTCCTTGAACTCAATCAACTATAGAGCTATTTATTTATCTTTTGATTCAAAATCATATTTTAGAGTTTAATATTTTTCATTTACCATAAATTTCCTTGGTAATAATGAAATTAAATTTAGCGATCTTTTAAATTTTGTGGTAACTTCAATTTTTTACTGCAACTTGAAATTAAATCTTTTGCTTCGTAAACTTGATATTTTAACAGACTTTTGTATATGTAGAAGAACAATATAAGACACTATACCCTTTATATGTAATTCAATGGGGAAAAGTTGATCAGAGATTGTAGCAACAATTTTTTGGCAGAGAAAAGTTTGTTATTGAAAAGTTTGTTCTCGAGGAGTTCCCCAAACAAATATGTATCTTAATGAGGTCTAATAATAGAGAAGTTGGACTGTAGGCAGAGGCTCGACTGCATGAGTCGGGGACGGGCGCAAAAAACTGAGAAAAAAAGTCAGCAATGCGGGGCAAAAACAAAATGAACAACTCAGGATTGACAGTCTGCAGTAAGAGGTGAGCAGCAAGCTGAGCAGAGAGCTGAGAGAAGTGGCGGCAACTGCGAAATGTAACAACCATACGGGAAAAACAGAAAACTTTAAAGCGCCAAACTGACTTACAGACACACTCACACACTCACACAAACACACACAGATATAGACAGAGCGAAAATTACACAAGCCTAGCTAAACGAGCGGGCCAACAGCAGAAAGAACAACAACAACAACAACCACACAAAAAGTAGGAAAAACATAACTGTGAGAAACAACATAAAGCAAAATCCCATCATCGTCGTCATCATCGTCAGTCAACATCATTGTGGTCGCCGCTCGTTGCTCGTTGCCCGTTGCCAGCAAAGGCAACATCAGCAACAACAACAACAACAGCAACAATAGCAACAGACATCAACTATGTATCTTCAACATCAAATACGAAGCGTAAAGATACGGCAGCGTCAACCCACTAGACGCAAAACTTTAGACTAGTAAGGCAGCCATCCATGAATCGGAACAATGCCGAAACCAACAGCAAGAACAATACAGCAAAGAAAAAAAAAAGAACTGACAGCAAAAACAAAAAAAAAGTAACTCATACGCAGTGGCTGGGCTTTCGGCACACAAGCGACGCCCTTCGGGCCACGCAGAGGGCACCTACGACCACATACACACACACACACAGCGACATAAAAACATATACACATACATACATATGTATGTATGTATATGGATGTGCACTCACTGTGTACTTGAAGCTAGTTTTAGCTTTGTGCCGTGCAAACGAATAAAACTACAAAAAAAAATTACGCTTTTTTGTGCACCCTGCACCACCAGATGTAGGTAAACAAACGGAGCATATTGGCAACGATAAGAGGGACGCCACAAGATGAAATGCATGCATCATTAAATGATTGAACTAAGTATTGGTAACAACTATTCTCTAGTAGAACTTCTTTCCAACTCCTTTCAGAGAATTTTTTCCAGAGCAGTAGATTCTAGCTGATATCATTACTATTCCTTAGATTATACAGATAATAATCTGTATTTCATTTGATTGTTCAGCTTTTAAGATTATACACAGCACAAACCATTTGTGTTTATTATATATCTATTGGGAAAATATTGGTAACAACCATTCTCTAGTAGAAATCCATTCCCACACTTTTCTGTGAATTCTTTTCAGAACAGCTACTTATGGTAGATTCTAGCTGATATCTTAACTACCTCTTCCATGATACCATCCATTATCTGTTTGTTATTTGATTGTACAATTTTCAAAGGTATACAGAGTACGAACCCTTTGGGTTTTTCATAAAACCCAAAAAAAGGTTATATTTTAAGAGAATTTCAAATACAAATCTGCATTTTAGGCAAATTAGTTTTAAACTATATAATAATACGGTACATTCCAGGGCTTATCAATTGAAAACAACTCCATTTATATTGTAATATTTATGAATAATACCAAATGAATGCTAGATGAATTCTGTATAAAAGAGAATTATGAACTAAAACGTCAAAATTAATGCAGTTGAACTTCTCCCTCATGCTTCATAAGTTGTCAGTAGAAAAGTTATTTTTAAACAATCCATCCATATTAAATTGTACTTCTTAAACACTGTTCGATATAAAAGATTGGAAAAGTCTCACTATTGATCTGCTTAACAATAAATTCTACATTTTTACTTAATTTCCGTAGAGAATAATCATATTGTTACAATCAATTTCTTCAGCATAGCACCCTCAATTAATCTTCTGCAGCGCACCGGAAAGTCGTTAAAGCATTACGGCTTTTTGGTACACGTTTGTGTTTGTACGCTCACGCGAATCTGGCACGAAAGCTCGTGAAGGGAAGGCAAAATAGGCAGCACACGAAATATACGAGCATATATAAAAAAAAAAACACAGAAGAAATGAAAGACAACAGAAGAGATAGTGGCAGACTTGACAACAACAGAAAGAGAGAGAGAGAGACAGAGAGAGAGGAAGAGGGAGAGAGAAAGAGGCTGCGCTAGCAAAACAAAACAAAATAACAAAACACAGAGTGTAGAGCTAAAAACTAAGCCGAGGCAAAAGTGGGCGCACAGATAGAAAGCAGGCAAGTCAGCAAAGTAGGATGTAAAGCAAGACAGGAAGGAAATAAGGAAGCTGCGCCGCTTTTGCTGATGAATATGATGACGATGATGTTGCAACCGAGGCACAAGGAACGTGCATAAAAAGGCCTAAGTAAACACGTTGCCATTCATCACAAACAGTCAGCCAGCCAGACAGGCAGCAAGCCAGGCAGCCCAACCGCCCAACAACAACGCCCACCCGCCCACTTTCGACAGAACAAGCGCCTCACAACAACGCCCGAATGCCTGACAGCAAGCCATATTGACATAAAAGTGGCCGCTAAAATGGTCCACTGTATGCTTTATAGCTTGGAGAGGGCGTTGGGCAGCCACCCACTACCCACTGCCCATCGAAGCTGAAGCTGAAGCTGAGGCTGAGGCTGAAGTTGCAGCTGACACTAAAGCTGGCTGCTTGAATTGGTCGAACATTGATGACGTCCTCAATGTCGTTTGCTCTTTTTGGCGTTTTTTGTTGATTTCGTTCAAACATTTTTGTTTATACGCCGCAATTTCGTAAAAGCCGCGCACATTCACACACACACACCAACACAGACATCAAACGTCAGTCACTCACACATTAAAAGTCAGTCACCCACACAATGACAAAATTGCCTAAGCTGCTCTTGTTGTTGTTGTTGTTTTGCTGTTATCGCTAACGAAATGAGAAAAACAGCAGCGCATCAAAAAAATAAAATAAATGTTGCTGCTTGTGCCGGCACGACGAACAAACACACGCAAACACACACACACACACACACACACTTACACTTGCACAATTAGGCGCGCACTTTATAAAAACCGCCCGCAGGGTGGTTGCTCAAAGATACAAATACACGGACATACGCACACACACATACATAGACGCACACTCGCGCACGCAACAAGCGCTTTTGCTCACGACGACTGGCAATGACGATGTGTATACGAGAGACACGAACTGAAAATTTCACATCGAGTCCGTTTTCCAAATGCGTGGAAATTACTGTTTTTAAAACGTGTGTCCGCGGCAGCAGCCGCCGAGAATTCAACTGACTGACAACATTGCACGAAATTCAAATTCTACGTCCCATGTGTGTGACGAGACGAGCTGTATTTGTGTGTGTGTTAGTGTATGAGTGTACTCGCCGCGTACTCGCCGCGCAATTGCAGAGCGAGTGTATCTGTATCTGTTGCCGAGACAGAAACAAATTTGTATCTATTCGCCGCAAGCAGCACAACTGAGCGCAACACAAACGCCAGAGAGTGAAAGAGAGTGCAAGCCCAGTCCGGTGGGAGTTGGGAGAGCATACGTATGCCGCCGTAACAGCAAACTTTCTACTTTTGCGCGCGCGTTTAATATTATTCGCCGATTTCGCCGTTTGAGGCTAAGCCTAGCTAGCGGTTTTGTTTGAATTTGCCGTGCGACGAAATTCCAATACGACAACAAAATGCGCACGCACACATCCACAACGCACTTGTCACGTGTACGTGTGTGTTTACAAAATTTTCACACACACACACGCACACACTCATGCCAACACAATATTTTTCGGCACGTTTCGCCGCACTCGCCGCGCAATCAAAAGCAAAGTGAAATTTTCTTCTTATTAGAAAAATACACAACAACAACGTGAGCAGTTTTTCTATTCAGCTATGAATATTTTTCGTGCGTTGCGTGCTGCGTATTTTCTATTATATTTTATTTTTCCATCGCCATTTATGTTAAAACGCAATTCGTGTTTACTTTTCTGATTCGTAATGTAAATTTGTTTATCAGCATGCAGCAACCAAAACTTTAGTGGAAAATTAAATCAATTTCTACGCACAACTTAAATCGATTTGCAGTTAAGTGCTCTTCTTCTTACTTTATAACACTTGCCGACACACACACACACAACAGCAGCAATAACAACAGCAACGTTTGTGTGATAGCTTCCTCTTCTTCTTTCACTTCTACTAACTGCTGCTGCTGCCGCTGCTGTTATCGATTTCTCATATGCTTTTTATTATCATAAAATGCCGCCAGCTGAGATTTTGGCCAAAGAGCTGATGACGCGCTCACTCGCTCACTTAATGATGAAAACACAAGCACAGCGAAAATTTCCGAATTTTAAAAACTTTTCTCCGTTCACCGAGTGCTCGGCACGAATACTTTTCAAAGACTGATTAGACTTTTGCTTGGCCGGCCAACGTTTTGGCGCGGCTAAATCTGTATCTGTGCGTTCGTATTTCTGCGCCTGCGCTCTGAGCAACCTGCCGAGAGAGCCGCAGCACGTGTCAGCCGAAGTGTTCGCAGTGAGTGCGAGCGGGAGCAAAGCTATTGTTATTTCACGCCATTGCTGCTTTAACCGCCCACCCTGCGGCTGACGAGAGGCTTGATTGGCTGTAAGTGCGGCTCGTGTGCGCTCGGCTTTTCGCCGAAGCCGCACGAGCGCCTCGTTCACTTGCGTGTGTGAGTGAGAGAGGCTGTTTTATATTTTTGGGGTGGTTGTGACTACAATGCGTGAGTGTGTGTGTGTGGGTGCGGGGCACTTTTTAATTGAATTCAACTGTCAAATGAGAGATTAACGTTTTTTGTACATCGCTCGCTGTTGTGACACAAACAACAACACAATACAGCAACGACAACAACAACAAGGACAGCGTCGGCTGCGACGTTAGCCGCGCCGTCTACATATTGGCCTTGGTGTTTATAATTATAAATGAATTCTGTTTGTTTCGCCGTTGCTTCAATTGTTGTTGTTCATGTTGTTTTTGCTTTCTTTTAGCAACTTTGTTTTGCATGCCGCAGTTGGCCCGCTCACTTGAGTATCTGCATCACATATCTGGCTCTGACTGCCAGTCGGCCGTAGGCATTTTGTTGAAAATATGAACCTGTTTGCCGCCAAAAGTTTCTGCCCTTTTTGTCACATTCTGCATGTTCGCATGTATGTATGGGTGGGTGTCTGTGTGTGTGGGTGTGCGTACGAATGTGTGAGTTTCTGTCTCTGACATCGCTTGCTTTGATATACATACGTACAAACGTGGTGCACTGGATGTTGCATCCATTTTTCGGCCTCCAAAAGATGAAATGGGGAAAACAAATATTTTTGCTCAAAGGCTGAAAACAATTTTTGCAATTCAATTGATGGGGGAAAAATGCTCAACGCCAGCAAAATTTGCATTTCAAAGGCTTGTGGATAAATGTGTGTATGTACATAAGTCCTTGAGCGTTTTTCACAAAATCTCAGCACGTATCGCACACTTTTCTTGCCCTCTTGAGCACAAATACCCATCTATATTTCATATGGAAATACCTACAAATAGGCAGTAAGCGAAAAATTGAACCTATAAATATTTAAGCCGCAGCAATATTTCAAAAAACGCAGTGATGTGAATCACAAAATATAAACAGACTATCATATGAGTCGTTCCGATACTTAGCTGTTCACATGACTCGAAATATTTTTTTCTGTTTGTAAATTAACTTCAGCAGTTTCTGATGCCTGTATGCATTGGTCTTTAGCACTTTTTTAAAAAAGTTGTCGGTGAGTTTTCAAGGAAAAAACATTTCACACTTCTTTTACTTGTGTTTGCCCACCTTTTAAAGCCAACTAGAGATTAAAACTGACCCATCAGCCAGATCACAAAACAGCAGCTTCTTTTCCATGCACTACGAGAACCTGGTTTCAAGAGTGGTTCCAGCATGACTTTAAAGCCTCAGGTTAAATATTTTCGCTATAAAATTGAACTAAAGACAATCCAGGCTCAACTCCATGGCTAGTATTTATTACTATTTCTTGTGTGGAAATTTTTGTATGGAATGCGAGCTCCATTGTGTATTCTGCCGAACAAAATGGTGAAATATCCTTCGGATAACTGTCAATGGCAAGACCAAAGATACAAAAAACTCACATATCGCCGCTTGGTAGCTGCCCCATGCCACTAAGCTGTGTATAACAATGAAAGACATACATATGCTGGAAATGCAAAGAACTAGAAGCACATCTCCCTCTGTTCAGCACTTACAGTGAACAGGACCAGATGTCCTTATTGAAGAAGGCGCCATAATGCTCTCCCGAGACACGGTTGACGGTTCAGCCAAGCCTCTTCTAGCTAATGTCCAATTGCTGGCAAAAGTAATAACCAACTTGTGGCGGTATCTATGGTCCTTCTATCTAATGCCCACCGGCTTAACCCAACCGTGTATGTGGTTTTTGATTAAACATAAGAAAGAAACACATTTTTGTAGTCAAAAATAAATGTAGTCAGAAATAAAGCAGAGGGTGTATTTCAGAAAAAAAAAAACCCCTGCAGTCTAAGATTATGTGATTTGATGAGCTTTGTTCTATAAAAGGAAACCAACAACAATTCTAGATGTGCTGTCCAATGTAAGTTCTTTTGTGGTCAACCCGTGGCCCCTTATAAAGTTTAATTATAGTGTTGAAAAATTATTAGTTTCTATAGAAAAGATTCTTACTCACTATTTGATCATTAATATTTGTATTTGACAACAATTTCAAAATGATTTTCTTGCCGGCCTTCGAAAAAAATTGAATAATAATTGAAGTACCCGCTTTCCGCAGTTTGATAAGATCTAGCTGACCATTTTGTATTTCATATTTTAAAGATTTTTTCACCCTTCAGTTTTGCTAAATCTAGTATGAATTAATCCCAGATACAAAATTCAATAGAATTCCTAACCAGAAATGGAAAAGGGTAAGTATTTGAATCAATTGAATGCTCCCTGCGGGCTGTATATATGCTGGACTGCTTAAATGTATGTACAACACAAGGGCGTACGCAGGGGAGACATCGCCCCCCCCTTGATCTTTAGAAAAATTGTTTCGCTATCTGAAGTCGACCATTCATTCATTATTATTGCGCACCTTTTCGACCTAAAGTGGAACTGAATTGGAATTTTTGAAGTTTTTCTCTTGATCATATGCATAAATTATTATTGTAACGCATCGCGTATTATTTAATCAAAATTTTAATTTTTTGGCGCCCCATCTTGTACATATATATCTATCAATTAGTAAGTGGATATAAGTAGAGCCCCCAGAAAACACCAAAAATATCATCTATAAAAGTTTGGAAAATTGCTATTTTTTAAAGCATAAAACGAACAAAATGCGATCTATTATTAAACTTGAAAATCGTACTAACGATTTTGTTCTTGAAATAAGATGTCTGTACTTCCCTAACCATTGGCACTGTTCATTCTTAGTAGCAGCCTATAAGTGTTCTTCCCTATAATTGTAAATGTTTGGCTGAATCATAAACTTCTTTCCACTTTACCGAATTTTACATTAAATTCAAAGTCATCTACGATTGATGCCTATTGAAACTTTTATGGTAAGTCTTCAGAAAGTGAAGAATCGCAATACTTTTCAGTCATAAACCCTTCATAAAAAGAAATGAATAGGGTATTTAAAAGCAAATATTACGATTAGCTATTTACAACATCTTGAGAGAGTCCTGTCAAAATTAGAGTCGATGAGAGAGTACGAAAGTTGTACTTTTAGGATAATTGTGCTTTATTTTATTCCAGTGCCAAACAAAAATGTACAAATATATATACATACATCTTAATAGTATTGTTTGGGGTTTATAAACAAGAACTCAACTTTCATTATTTACAAGCTACGTATGAGCTGGTCTTGCTGCCCCACTTTACCAATCAAATCATAGGTATCTGGGAGAGCTTTATCCATAGCAGGGAACATACTTACACTTACCAACAAATTTCTTGACCTATTCTGGCGAAATTCGAAAATAACTTGCATCTGTTAGTAAAGGTGTTTATTCATTATAAGGTATATTATCCACTTCAGCAGTACCATCAAATATAAATTACTCTAAGAAAGAACTGGGAAGAAAACTCTACCTCTCTTACAAATACATACATTACAGAGCATCGCTTCTTCTTTAAGATAAAGCTGTTATATGTGGGCTTACAGTTTATAATTGGCAGTCGCTCTGTATGATTGAACATTTGTTGAGTGATGAGTTAAGCAATCTCTTTACTCTTTACAACGAACGGAATGTCTTTAATTGGAAGATATATGAGGTCGGTATATAGATACACAATTTTTAACCTATTTATAACATAATTTTACCAACATTATTCCTAACTCTTTAAAAATTCCAATCCTACTGTATAATCGTGTTGTCTGAAGTACTAATTTGGGTGAATAAATTGAGCTTAAAGCCAGTTTATGGATAAACACGATTCAAGCTATTGTCTAACACTATCTGGGCTTTCAATTGCAGATCCGTCAAGCTATTTTCTTCATTATAAATAATATCTGAACGCTGTCCGGTGCTAATTTTGTTCTGCACAGCACTATAATTGGAATATTGATTAGACTGTCATACAGGTGCATATTTTTTCGGAGGATGGAACCAGTTGTGGAAGCTCGAATTAGGAAATCATATTTTTCTGAAAACATTATTTTCATCAATGAATCGGTTTCTAAATGTAGAAGTTTGACTATTTACTCAAAAATTTATTTAACATTGTAGACCTTTCTTTTCTTTAATATGAGCAAGTGCTGAAGGCTCTAGAAGTCATTGCTAACATAATGACATCTGTTAGTTTTATGAATAAATAAATAAACAAGTGTAATATTTATTTTACATTTCAAACTATTTTGGATATGTACAACATTGATCAAATATGATAAGGGCTTGGTTATAGTCAAAAGATTAGTCCTGTTTTCAATAACGGCATTATAAATAAATAAATAAACAATAATTTATTTTTGATATCAAACTATTTAAAATGTGGCCAACACTCCTAAAATTAGATTAAGGTCTGGTTACAGTCAAAAGTTTGGTGCTGGTTTCAAGAACGGCATTATACTACAATCTTATGAAATGAACTTACCAATTATCGCTCATAAATGTTTGTTAAGTGTGGTCCAATTAGGTCCTA